TATATATATATATAAATATTACTTACCGGAGGAAATAGTATGTGGCCGTTCATTCACCGTTCCCGGGTTTTGTCGATCGTACTGAACAGACGTTTCCTGCAAATCAGGCCAAGTAGAAGTTGTCACGGGTCGCGTTACAGTACAACCGGTACTTTGATTACTTAGAGAAGACACATTCGATACCTAAAAACGACCCTCCTCTTTAACCGACCGCCAACGAAAAAGAGCAGGACAAGATAGAACGTGTGAAAATGCATTCTTGAAGTTAAACTACAGAATTCGTTTAAAACTAGGAACATAAGCAGATCTAACAGCATAATCACTAGGCGGCGGAAACTTGTAAGGTCTCACACTTTGAATCTTCTATATTGTGCCATTGTAATTTTAACGTGAACATTTTATAAAAATTATGGAATTAATGTTTAATCCTAAACTTTTAAAAATTGAATGTTTTTTTCAAGAGCTCGTCATTGGAGGCGACTGACTTTCCTTGCACATCGTCCGTCCGGAGAAGACTATTCATCGTGTAATTCTACTAATCACTAAACGATTTTACCTGATGTTCGGAAATTGGTTGGTTGTACAACGTATCCTGTGATGTAAAACCGGAGTCGCGGGAACTGCCAGTGGTCAAATGGCGCAGCATCGTGATGCCGCTGATGCTGGCGGGTCTGACACCAAATGGCTATAACGAGTACAACATCGACTACCACATACAATAAGCTCGAGCAAATGTAGCAATTAATTCGTGCTGTAAAATCTATATTCGTGTTTACTAGGTGCATTGCAGCTGATGCACTAACGGTGTTACTATGTCATGCGACATAAAAAAACATTTAATGAATCAATCCGTAAAAAAAAAACAAGGTGAGAAAAAAGAGAAAAAGACAGAAGAAACAAAAGATACTGCCGACGCGTAATTACCTGAGAAAGCGATCTATGCCACGGATGTCCAGATGGGCTCGGATGACTTTTACAAGATCCACTACTGCTACTAGTTAGAGAACTGATCGAACACATAGAACTCTTCCTCGATCCGAGAGACAAAGACGGGCTCGATGGCGGTGTAGCCAATGACCACTGAGTAACGTCGCAACCTTTTATGTCCGTTATTACCTGCTCGGATGCAGGCGGTAAATGATGCGGCGACGCGGCGTGTCTTTGCAATTGATCCGAGACTTCTTGCAGATGCGTCAATTCCATTAACATCGCTATCTCCTCATCCTAAACGGTTGATTATGCATTTATATATGTGTATACACCGCCATTGTACGTCAGTTAACGAATGTGTGTATATATATATATATA